CTTCAAGGATCGGTAAATTAGGATTTTGGATAGGTCATATACTATTTAAGCTCAAAAGATGCGGGGTTGGAGGTTTTATGTTGTATTGGATTCCCTTTGTTCAGAGTTTGTCTCCTTTGGTTATTATACTCAAGTTTAAGGTAGAGGTGTTGGATTTTCAATCATCGTAAATAGTTCCTATCAGAGGTTTGTCAAGGCATGACATCCGTTTCTCTAAATAGCCACAAGGGTGTTGTTTGTTAGGGTTTCATCAACGTTTTTGCTGGAAAGACTTTGGGTCAGGATTTTGTGCCTCATCAGGTCATTATGTCAGTATGCAGTCAAGATACGAAGATTAGGGTTTCCCGCCCTTTGTGATTAAGTCAGGAAAATGTCATTCAAGTGAGCTTCACATGAGGCTAGCAGGTTCAGTGTATGTGCAATACTTTTTTAGTCTAATGAGGTGGTATGATCTTGGTCAAGAAAGAGGAGATTACTTCGTTCTCAGAATAGATTTTTCACGAATCAATATCTTATACTTAACGATCATTAACCAAGGTTTTTGTGCCAATTCAAGTTTATCTGGTGGAATCAGGTTGCAGAGTTCTGGTTATGTGTATCAGGATTTGTGGCAATTAAGTTAAATGGTCAAGGTCTAAACCATTATTGTCCTTTTTAACCAATTACCCATCTCATTTATCCATTATCCAATTCCATTCCATTTTCAATCCGTTTTTAATTCATAAAACCCATTCTTTCATTTATTTAATTCAAATATCCATATCTATTTTTTTTTTCATTTAGTCCAAAACTCAATTGTCCACTTTTTGTTACAATGTTTCACCAAAAATTCCAAAGCCATCACAAAAATTGTAATATAAAAATTCATGTCATTCCAAACTAAGGCCCATTTTCATGTTACAAGACAAAGTCAATTACCATCCATTACACTATTTTCTTATACATTGTTACAACAAATTTCAACAAAAAAAAAAGAGAAGAGGACATGCGGCCATGCACATCATTTGACAACATCACATACTGTAAAATATGCCCACAAGACAACAAAACTCCTGCGCATAGACTCCAAATCCTGCTATTCTCCAAAACCTGTTACCATCCCAAAACCTACGTCCTTGTAGCATATCAAAACAAGATATTAAGCTAGGAATTTTTTACACAAATGCCACACATTGAAAAATTAAATACCAAATTGCCACAGATTGGAAAAAAATTGCGAAATTGCCACTACTGCAGAAAGGGTTCGTCCATTGGAAGGACGACCCTATGAAGGGTGTTTTCATGTTGTATGGGTTTGGCCATCCATTGGCCGACCCTACACTGCGTGTTTTTTTTTTGTTTTTTTTTAATTTCAGAAATAAATATATATTATATTTTATTATTTTATGTTTTAAATAGTTTTTGATATATTAAAATTATTTAAATGATATTTTAATATTAATAAATAAATAATTTAATTATTTTAAATAATTTTTTAATATTAGTAAATATTTTTCACATTATCTAATTAATTGTTTTTATATATTAAAATTATTTAAATGATATTTTATATTAATAAATAAATAATTTAATTATTTTAAATTACTTTTTAATATTATTTAAAATACAAAATGATAAATAATTATAAAAAATAATAAATTATATAATTAATTGTTTAACTAAATAATTATATAAAATAATAAATTAAATCATAAATAAAGGATATTTTATTAATATTTATGAGTGGAGAAAATACATCATTTTTATCTACGCAAATGACCGCCAGTTCCACACATTTTACTCTTTTTCACACGTTTCCCCTACCTAACTCTTGGGTTTGCCGTCTTGGAGGTGATGGGGTAGAGTCAGAAGTCAACTCTTCATTTTCAGGTTGATGTGATGTATCAAGCATGTCCACATCAGTAACCGAAAAACCTGGCCATTCCATGAGTTGATCATTAGTTAGGGTAAAGTTAGGGGCTGACTGGAATGGTTGGGTGAAGGTGGTTGGAGGACTTTGTTGGATGGGAGGGTAAGAAACATTGTCAGTGCGGCCGGATGAACTTGGTTGAGACATTGAAGGGTTAAATGTTTGGTGTTGTGGTTGGGGGTAAGAGAAATCAAAATTAGGCTGAGGGATCGGAGTGAACTAAAAAGAAGGTCGAAATGTGACTTGTTCCTGATATTGTTGTTGGTAGTAGTAGTTTGTTTGTGGGGTTGGGGTGTATGGTTTTGGTTGTTGAGAGGAGGTGGCAAAAAATGTGGTATGAGTGTGTTGATATGTTGGTTGGGGTTGTGGGGGCTGGGTGAATGAAGATGTCTGTGTTTGAAATTATGAAGGGTTCACATGAGGCATTTCTTGAGGCATGGGCGAAGAGGATCTTTGTTGTGATGAAGACGTTGCATACTGACGGGGGTCTTCTAGGAACTGACCTTGAGAAGCGTGCATATATGCAGTATTATGAACATAGTTACTGTTAACCATGTTACCTCGTAGGGTCAATTTTTTCTGTTTCTCCACACGTTATTCTCTTCTTTATTTATATTGCGTGAATGATCTCTCCATGTATTGGGCATATCAGTCTCATGTTGTTCACATAGACATCTAGGCTGAGGAGGGATATCTTGTTGAAATCCAAACTGCAATTTGACCCTATCAGCCTGATGCATTTCAACGATATGGAAACTGATAATTAAAGTTGTAGCGCTCCAAATCTGGCTATCTTCAAGGACGCATTCTAGGTAGCTTGGGTATGGCCTCCAAATAAACTGTTACAGAAAATATAATAGTTAGAGTTTTAATACAAATGGTGGCACATATTTAGAGAATGTAGCGCTAACAAACTTACATCGTTAGCCCTTAATCTATCTAGTGGAAATCTAAATCCTCGGACGTAGTGTCGAGGATTATTTTGATAAGCCATGCCTCTTCAAACAAATCTTGCAATGTTAAAAGAAATAAAAATAATTTAGGGATGGAAAAAAAAAGAAAATAAATGATAAAGAAAATGTAAAATTTTTTTTACCTTGTTGCATAAGGATGATGTGAATCGACGGGAGAATCTGGAGCTATTAGTGGTATACGCCAATATGTCCAAACACTTAGTAGTAGAACACACCCACCAATACTTTTGACCCCTACCATACATGCTTTACACATATGCCTATATAATGTAGCCAAACAAGCAGAACCCCAACTATATCTATTGCATTTATCTAAATCTCCTACTAGGGGTATCCAAGAAGAATGTAAATAGTTATGGCTCTTGTTTGGCATTAATACTTTAGCTATGAGTTGTAAAATATATATTTTTGCATGGAGAATGTTATCCTCATCGGATGGTGTTGCTATTTGTCGTAATCGTGCTAATGTAGTTTGTATCCAAACAATTTTAACACACGCTTTATGTTTATCGGATGTTGTAGGTTCGATACCTAAATGTTCCATATATACATCACCTCCTACCTGAGTAGGACCATTCACGTCCTTGCCATTCACACGAAGACCCAATAACATACTAGCATCCTCCAAAGTGATGGTACATTCACCTGTTTGTAGATGGAAAGTATGTGTTTCTGGTCTCCACCTCTCCAACATAGCGATTACAAGCTTTGAATCAACTTTGATTGAGGAGATTTCTACAACTTTTGTGAAACCTGCTCGTTCCAAAAACGGTTTGATTGCGTCACTTGGTGCATCGATAGCATGAGAATGTAGTCTAAATCTCTCGCTATCGGACTATTTCAAATATAGAAAAAATAAATACAAACTTGATGAAGAAAAAAACACAAGTGTGAATAAAAAAACTTACAAATGCGGCAACATTGGTCGGTGTTCCCTGATGATTTTCTCCCATCCACAACACTGCCATTTAGAAGTGGTGATTTTGAATGTTATTTTTTGAAATATTGGTTTAGAAGTAGTGGTTTTCAAGAATATATTTAGAAGTGGTGATTTTGAAATAATAGTTAGAAGTATTTATAAGAAAAATGGATACACCCTACTACATAATACATACCAATATCCTTTGGAAAACAACATGCATGCAATACTAGTCTGCACCCTATGATTCTTCTACAACCTAAATTGATTCTTCTGCACCCTAATGTATTAAGCCCTAGAAGCATGCAACGACACGTGGCGAGCATGCAAATTGCACTCTTTAATGGTTCGCCCTTGGAATGGCCGAACCCCTACACGTTCCTCACGGGTTCATCCTTTGGTTGGACGACCCTTAACTAAGCATGAATAGGTTCGTCCTTTGCTTGGACGACCCTTAACTAAGCATGAATGGGTTCGTCCTTTGGATGGACGACCCTTAACTAGCTCAGCATACACGACTGTTCTATATATTTTTCATGCAATTGTTGCAGACTACACATCTAACTCCCACTCCCACACTGTCAGTATCAAAAAATTATTCATGGCAGATAGAAATACATTGGTCACTATGCACTACAATGGTTCTGTGTTTACTGATGAAAATATCGGTTTTTCATTCAACGGAACAGATACGGTGATGTTCAAACTTCATCGAAGTTCTGATATCCTTCATCTAAAAGATAGAATTGAAAAAAAAGTGAATCGTTTAGTTCAGGATATTACTTACCATCAACCATTACCTAATGGGGTAGATGGTGGCGTGTTCTACGTAATGGTGCAGATAGACACAGACAGCACAGTCAAATCAATGTTTCAATGTCATTACACAATACCCCAGTTGAAGACGATTGAGTTATATGTTCTCCTTGAAGGCGAAGCATATCCAACACAATCATCATATTCGCATCAATACGGAGTGAGCCAAACAACTGATGAAGAAATAACACAAAATAATGAACCTTTCATCCGGGACGATGAGGTTGGTGAATACAGTGACGATGAACTCGATGATGTTCGCTTTGAATATCTATTCGGTGATGACGATGACGAGGGTGACGATGAACTCGTGCATTCATAGGTAATATATGCTCAAGCCATAAATCTGTACAATCCACCAGTGCATATGTCAAACATATGTATGGAGTTTTCTCAACCCATCTATATTTTTGAAAATGGCAAACCAAACCATAATGGTGAAAAATTGGAAGTAGGTTTGGTGTTTGAAAATAAGGAAGCATGTGTTCTTTTTTTACAACATTGGCATATTAGTAACAACCTTGACTATGCAGTATATAAATCTGATTCAGTAAGGTATATAATAAAATGTAAGAACCCACAATGCGTCTTCAAATGTAGAGCTGCATTGCGTAAAAAAAGCACATTATGGGAGATTGCTACTATAAGAGGATCACACACATGCACAACAACTTCTATGTCACAGGATCATAGAAAATTAGATTCTGAAATTATTAGCCATAACATCAGAGAACTTGTTAACAGCGACGCTTCACTAAAAGTCAAAGTTATACAAGCCCATATTGCTGAAAAATACGGTTATAGAATCTCATATCGGAAAGCTTGGATTGCAAAGATTAAAGCTGTAGAATCACTTTATGGGAATTGGGAGACGTCTTACAATGACCTACCACAATGGTTGTTGGTGCTGAAGACATATCTTCCTGGAACTGTTATACAGTTGGAAACACTGCCGATTATTACAGAGGACGGAACCCAGTTGGGTGATAAACGAAAATTTCCCCGACTTTTTTGGGCATTCGAACCGTGTATCAGTGGTTTTAGTCACTGTAAACCGATTGTGCAAATTGAAGGAACCTGGTTGTACGGCAAGTACAAAGGGACTTTGTTGATGGATGTGGCACAAGATGGAAATGGTAACATTTTCCCGATAGCATTCGCATTGGTTGAAGGAGAGACAAAGGATGGTTGGAGTTTCTTTCTCAGGAATTTGAGAATGCACGTGATCCCCCAGGCCCATCTTTGTCTAATATTCGACTGGCATCCATCAATCAAGAGTGCTTACGATGATCCTGAAAATGGGTGGCAGTTTCCTCCATCTTCACATGTTTACTGTATCAGACACATTGCGCAAAACTTCATGCGTGAGTTCAGAAACAAAGCACTACGGAAAACAGTTGTCAACATGGGTATGTCTACATCTTCACAAATTGTTATTTCAATTTTTATTTTTTGACTTAATAATTTTCATATGTTTTACTGATCATTTTGTTTAAATATTTTCATCTACAGGATATGCACTAACAGAGGTAACATTTAACTACTACAGTGGCGAATTACGAAGAACAGATAGAGCAACTTTGGAGTGGATTGACAATATTCCCAAAGAGAAGTGGTCGATGGCGTTCGACGGAGGACAGCAGTGGGGACACATGACCACAAATTTGACCGAATCTATGAACTTGGTACTTAAGGCTAGCCGAAACCTTCCTATTACAACATTGGTCAAGTCAACGTAATATCGTCTGGGATCGCTGTTTGGAAAACGAGGACACGATTGGACAAAAATGTTGGCATCCGGTCAAACTTTCACGCAAAACTGTAACAAGGGATTGACCGACGAGGCGATTAAATCTAGCAGCCATAATGTCATTCAATTTGATCGCAAGAGATTCTGTTTTATGGTTGCCGAAAGCATTAACCAACGCGATGGCCGACCATTAGGTACTTTTAGCGTTGATCTCAGGAGAGGATGGTGCGATTGTGGGAGGTTTCAGGCATTTCATTTACCTTGCTCCATGTAATCGCAGCATGTGCCAGTATACGACAGGATCATAACATGCATATACCAGATATTTTCAAGGTTCTAAGTGTATTCAAAGTATACAGCCAAAGCTTTCTTGGACTTCCACACCAGCAAAATTGACCAACATATGAAGGATTCACTCTTTGCCATGACGAGACAATGCGAATAAATAAGAAAGGGCGTTCAAATAGTACAAGAATTACAACTGAAATGGACGATTTTGAGAAAGAAAAGAGAAGATGTGGAATTTGTCGAGAAATCGGTCATATGCGGAGAAAATGTCCGAACGTGGCAGGCCCATCAAATCGGCCTAGATAAAAATGATGTATTTTCTCCACTCATAAATATTAATAAAATATCCTTTATTTATGATTTAATTTATTATTTTATATAATTATTTAGTTAAACAATTAATTAGATAATGTGAAAAATATTTAATAATATTAAAAAATAATTTAAAGTAATTAAATTATTTATTTATTAATATAAAATATCATTTAAATAATTTTAATATATAAAAAACAATTAATTAGATAATGTGAAAAATATTTACTAATATTAAAAAATTATTTAAAATAATTAAATTATTTATTTATTAATTTAAAATACCATTTAAATAATTCTAATATATAAAAAACAATTTAAAACATAAAATAATTATATATATATATATATATATATATATATATATATATATATATATATATATATATATATATATATATTTCTGAAATAAAAAACAAAAAAAAAAATCACATAGTGTTGGGTCGGCCAACGGATGGCCGAACCCCAACTAGAGAAAATGAGGTTTCATTGGGTCGTCCAACCAATGGACGAACCCTTGTTAAAATTGTGGCAGATTTGAAATTTATTTTCAACTTGTGGCAATTTGGTATTTTAATTTTCAGTTTGTGGCATTTACGCAAAAAATTTATTAAACTAGCCAACTTCTGCAACTTTGGCTACCACACAAAACAACACTCCAAAGACCAAGCTTCAAGTCAAAACTTGTCCACTACAAACCAACAAACCAAGAAACTGTTGCATAAGAAAACGACCACCATAGCATAGCAAAAAATTTCAAAAGAGGAGAGGGAGACCAGAATCGGGAAAGGAAAAGAAATAACATTGAGAAGAGGGGCGACACAAAAAACTAGACGAAAAAAACTCTCTTCATTCTCATCTTTATCCGTAACAACACATCCTTCTTGATTTCATTCTCACAACCAACAATTTTAAGGGGAACCGACACAAAGTTCTCCAACCTTATTTCTCCATCAACCTTATATATGTGTCGCTACTCGAAGAATACGCGCAACGACGGGGAAGGCAAAAAGAAAAAGGACAGAAGAGTCGCCACCGAATTTTATTTATCCCATGAGGAGAAAGGAAAATATCGAGAAAACCTCAAGAAAAGAACGGATAAGATGGTCTCGCAACCAAGAACAGGTTCGGAAGCCGGTTATGCGAAGGGAAGGTATTAGCACCCCTCGCATCCATCGTACTCGATGGGAACCATTTGTTTGTCGTGTGTGATTTATTTGCTTAAAAATTATGCTATAAAAGAGTGTTCCAAAGGATAGAGGGAAAGGTTAGAAATTGGGAAAAGAGAGATAACAGGGGAAGGAAGAGAAAGAACGGACTCGGTAGGACTTCGCGGTCCTAGGCCTACGTATTCTCAACGGACATGAGAAAGTCAGAGTCGACGTAGTTCGGGAAACTACGGGTGATAGGGGGGATTGTGCTCGCCAAGGATTATGGCCCTTGTGCCTACGTATCTTTACTTGAAGAAGTAAAGAATCAGAGCAACCGTAGTTCGACCTACGATTTGTTGATGTTTTTATGGATGATGCTATCGTACGCATTCTAGCAGTTAGGTGTATTGCTGCTCGCTTGTTGGAGACTTAGGCATTACCTGTTTGCGGTAGAACGGACGTATCATATCCTTTTCGAAAGATTAGTTTTCTCCATGCGAGGCAAGATGTCACATTTGATTTGTTGAAATGTTTTTTAGGGGGCGAGATAGGTCCTCGGTTAGTAACCCCTACGGGTAGTACCCAATTCTTTATCTCAAAGGTTTATTTATGAAAGGGTGTGGCGAACATAGCGTCTTCGTATTGAAAGACGAGTATCAAAACCACCCACACTACAGTGAGCATCTCGACACTCGGAGAGGAAGAAGTCTACACTTAATCCTCTCTTTTTAGTTCAATACAAAGAGAACTTCATTCTCTTATTAAAGTGTTTTTGGTTTTGAATGGTAAGTGCTTTTGTGACAGAGAACCCTACGGTAAACGTCAGCACTCGGGGTAGGAGAAGGCCTACGCCTAACCACTCCACGACCATTCAAATTTTTGTTACGAAAAGAAGTTTAAAAATGCGCTCGGTACGGGACCGAGGTTTTTTGGTGACAAAGGTTGCGGGAGGAATTTATGGAAAGAGATAGGTGGAAGGAGTCGCGTCTTCGTATTGAAAGACGAGTTTCTAAACCACCCACACTACAGTGAGCATCTCGACACTCGGAGAGGAAGAAGTCTACACTCAATCCCCTCTCTTTAGTTCAATACAAAGTGAACTTTATCCTTTTGTTAAATATGGTGAATTGGCTTAACAATCGTTTGAGAACATCCGCTTGACGTTGGGTCAAGGGTTTAATTGTTTAAAAAGGTTTGAGGTGAAGCGAGCAAGGTCAATGGCGACACGCAAGGCAATCGGCTTACAAGGTCAAAAATGGCTCGATGAGAATCGAGAGTTTGTTTTCTTGAAAATGGTTTTTAGAACCAAAGGTCAAAAATGACCAACAATAAATATGCATAAAAACCAAACAATCATAACGGGTTAACCGACTTAAAAAAAAAACAAAACACAAAAAAAAAGCGAACTCCTTGAAAAAAAATTTTTGAGGTAAAAAAGTCGAAAAAACATGAAAAACAGGGGTCTGACACGGGTGGCCATGTTGTGTGACACGACCCGTGTCACAGCTCCAGGAAACTTAGGGTTTTTGAGGCAAACAGAAGTGTGACACGGGTGGCCGTGTTGTGTGACACGGCCCGTGTCACAAGGTCTGGGAGAAAAATGATTTTTTAGGGCAAACAGAAGTGTGATACGGGTGGCCGTGTTGTGTGACACGGCCCGTGTTGTGTGACACGGGTGGCCGTGTTGTGTGACACAGCCCGTGTCATGTGTTCTGGGCATTTTGTACTTTGAAAAGTCACACAGAGATGCAACACAGCCGGCCGTGTCGTGTGACACGGCCCGTGTTGGGCTACCAGAAGAAAAAACCAAACTTTTCTCTTGTTTTTTTGCTTCTTTTTGTGGTTCTTTCAAAAGGGTTTCTTGGTCCCTTTTAGGACCTTACATGATATATACAGTACAACAACACACATGAGAATAAATGGAATGAATATAAAAAATAAAAAGTAAAGGGAGAAAGGTTTGAAGAAATGGATACCCAAGAGCTTTCTATTCTTCTTGCAAGTCCTCCTGGGTTCTGGTTGAATATGCTTCACCACTCCTCACCTTCTGTTGTGAAGGTTTTGTTTCTCAATGATCCTCTTGGTTCTATCTCACCCTCTTCTTTTTCTGGTTTTTAGGGTTTTGTTTGCTCTCTCTATTTTTCTGGTTTTCTCTCTTACTCTTTGCTCTCAATATCTCTATCTCAAAATGTTGTGTATGATAGTGAATGATAGTGAATGATCCTTTTGTGCAGCCTCCAAGCCTCCTTATCTCCCTTTTTCTGCTGCCTTTTCCTGCTGTACCAAAAGCATAGCTCTTGCACAACTTTCAATCTTCAAAGTTTCCATTTTTGGGAGTACTTATCACCTCTTTCTTGGTGCAGCCCCACATCTTTCCATTTCTAGGCCTGTTTTGCTGTATTTTTCTGCAGCACTCTACCTTGCCCTTCATCCTTGTATCCATTGGTTGGCTTATGCTTGGACACACACATGTAACCAATAACACTACCTTTTGGACATCATTTTCAAATTCTGATTTTTGATGTGTAGATGTATCAACATAATCTTATAGCCTTGGTTTTGTGACATAAAATGATTTTGTAATATGATACACATTGCCACTTCTTGCATGAGGCTGTTTTGGACCATATTCAAATTGCCCATGAATGTATGCATAGCCTTGATCTTGAGATATTCCAACATTGAATTAGCTCTTAAATATTTTCCTTGCATGTTTGTAGGCACAAAGAGGACCATGTGGACTTGATGAGGCATGGGGGATACCATGGCATGAAGTTATTGTTAGAAACTTGAATTAAGACTAGAAATAGCTTAATTTCCTAAGCATTACCAAGAGTTTGGATTTTGTAACAATTGTGACATTCTTGCAAATGTCATGAAATTTCTCTTTGTAATATTCTTGAATCTAACCTTGAATTTGGAATGATGGGTCTCCCTTATGTCATTGAATTTGAAACAAATGAAGAAATGAGTCAAGCCTTGAAAGAGGGCAAATTTTGGGGTGCAACAATATGAACAAACGCTTTCCAAAAAATGAAACCTGTTGAAGAACTCACCTTGTCAACTGCAACAACATCAGCTCGACAGAACAACAACAATATGAACTTCAACCTTTTCTCTTATTTTTCTTAGGGATCTTTAGAAATGACCACCCTTTTCACATCGTCAAAATTGAGGGTTTCATAAACTACAACAACATTCCTTTAACAAATAAATTCCACCATTCCAAAACCTCAAA